TTATAATTCTAGTGCGCCGAACTTGATTCCGTAAAAAAAAATGATTTTGGACCCAGAAAGATCATTGATTCCAAGCGATCTGTATTTATACCTTTTCTTTCCAGTATATTCCTCCGGCCCTTTCCGCACGTCTTGGTATCCCTGCGGAAGAACTTGGCAAATTGCCCATGTTCTGTCACATCCATTCCACGGTCTGTATAAAACTTGTATTTCCAAAATTAGTACTTATCTCGTCTTTGTAGGTATTTCCCCGCTTTGGCTGGATTATTGGACGACCAAAAAGTGAACAGGACGTTGCCGATCTCTACGCAAATGCTCCACCACCACGTGTGTACTTCCTTATATGCTGAAAATGTGGTTCGATCTTATGTATTTGCAGAGCATTTTCTTGCTATGGTACAAGCATTAGGAATGAGCGCTGACTTAGAGCGATATTTCCATGAAGACGAAGGAGAAGATCAAGTTGTTGGAGGAGATGAAAAGTTTTGATGGATGAGAACTGTTTACTTGATTTGACGAACCTCCATCCTAGCTCAATTTGTTTTGTTACCCGTTACTCTCTTAACATAATGTACATTTGTTCAGATTTTTTTGCCTCAGTCTTGACTCTGAGCTGACCCTAAAATAGCTTCTTACAGGTTTCAATTGTACAAAGTTCTACAATATCGTTTTCCAAATAAATGAGATAAATTAATGTATTCAACGATTTCCGTACAATACCGTATTGATAGCATATGAAAAAGTGTTCGGATGACACTCGGCAGATTACAGGGTGCTAGGTTGGCGAGGTTTGGGACATGAATTGATGCGCAGTGATTGCATGGTGCAGAACCTGATCTATTCAATAATAATACGAGCCCAAAACGCCGAAAACATCATAACCATGGATACTCCCATGTTTCTTGGAATAATGGCCCGCGGTGTGCGAAGAAAAGCAATGGAACATCAAGCAAAAATCTTTTGAAAGACTCCTCGATTACTCTTAACAGTTTCAGTAAGACACAGTTACATTTTCGCATCACTAAATCAATTGCAATTCCTTCTATTCAGAAAGTTATTGCAGATATCAAACACTAAATATGTTCGGGCGCTAAGAAACGATTGGTAAAAGTTTTTACTTTTGGTCACAATATCGGAATGCAGCTGAGTAGCGGTATCTATGAATGATCATCTTCTGCATGTCAACAAAAGTTAATTAATGCGTTATGCCCCAAGATCAAGAAATCTAAGGTATCCAAATTATCTGAGAAAATGCTGCGCAATCCTGGGTTACACTGGTCATTACGCGCAGTAGTTAATCAAATTCGATGAGCTTTTAGTGAATTTCAGTCCAAGATTCGAGTTTCAAATTGACTTCGCAAAATATGTAAAGATCTCGTAGATTAATTTTCGAACATTTATTTTTTTTTT